ACATCGGAGCTACGGATAGTCAACCATGGGGTGTCAGCATCGAACAGGTGCGGGACGCCACAAGTTGAGCATAACAAAAAGAATGAAGGTAATTGGTTCTCTTGGTCTCTTATTAATCATTCGCTTAGTGGTCGAAATCTTCTTTTCTTGAGCTGCCCTCTAGAATTTGTAGGAACATTTACATTTGGTGTAATCGGAGTGGGGAATTTTTTTCAGACTCAAAGGGCACCTTCCCACCTTTCGTTTAAAAAGTTTATGGTTTGAATGACATCTACGGACAAATAAGAAACTAATAATTTTCTCGCAAGTGGTCATGTACGTTTTGTTCAAATATATACAACTTTCAAAATTAAAATTTTGAGGTTCTTCTGTGTGAAACTTCGGAGATACTTACGGAGTTCTTAGTGACTCAGTTTTCTCTGAGGAAAGTCCCTGGACCCTTAGACAGAAAGTGTCGTAGCTTGATTGTTACAAGCCTCCACCGTATTTCTCGATTGTAAAGGGGAAGCTGCTTTGGCTGATTTATTCTCGAGAAATTAGGTTGGAAGAGTATTGGTCAAAGCAAAGATGGATGTTTTCAAGGCGTAATGTAATCCAAATTTGCTATACAAAATGGATTATATATATCGCGCCATAACTCAAGAGGGCTTTCAACGAAGGAACTTCATTTCTTTTTTTACTATTATTTTTCTTTTAAAAAATATTTTTGTTTTTTAAGGAGTTAAAAATATCAAGAAAAATTAAAATGCTCATTTATTCGCCGGCCCTATGATGATGCGGGATTTTCAACCATTGCTTGACCCGGCCCATTAAATTTCAAATTCAAGCTTTAATTACTCACCTCTTATAATTTATATATAACATCATTATTTTTTAAAACTACTAGGCCACACACAGCTTTAGTGTATAATATAAATCTTCTTATATGCTTTCCGAAAAACATTTACTTAGCTATTCTAGATAAAACCTACGGTTTCAATAATTTAACACTGACATATATATATACACATGTTTTAAAAGAATAATTTATATTTAGCCCAACATGAAAACTTATGAAGGATTGAAGGTTATTAAGGATCATATTAAAATTTGGAAAGCTTCTAATAATTAGGTATACTTATTAGGTGGTTCGGAAAATCGTTTCGTTTTTTGCTGACGCAATAATGGCATTAGTTGATGCAAACCGACAAATAGTAACACATGACATCGATGAGAGGTTAAATTTATCAAATTCAACTATTTATGACCACTTGAAATGTTTAGGTTTAATCTCGAAGCAAAAATTATTTTCATTTTTACAAAAGAAAAACGAAACGACTTTCCGAAACACCTAATATATTATTTTCTAATAGAATTATCATCTTTTATAAAGGTTTATTTACCTTAATAAGAGACATATCAATTATCATATTACATTTATTTTGCGCACTGATCACAAAGTTTTTAACAATGATTGAATATTTTTTCTTTTTTCGAAGTTCATTTCCTGTCATGTTCATAGAGAATTACCTAATCTAAATAATTTTAAAAAAATGTGAATTTTTAGTCACATCTAATCTTTCTTCGAGCACAAGTATTTTGTCGTTGCATATGGCTTAATACTAATCATAAAAAATGTCATATTCTTTTACACATCATCATAGCATATATATGTACACAGCGACCAGTGCTATTCGCTTGCACCGGTGTATTTAGGCTACAGTCATTTATGTATACATACAACATATCTTAAGAATAAAAATACTTGTTCATAAATTAAAAAATAAAATGAACGTATAAAAAAAAAATAACCATGACATAAATCTAAAAGTCCATCCCATGCGATCACAAATAATTATTTTTGAACGTATATACGCGACAATAATACAAATTATATTTAAAATATTTTTTGATTATAGAAAGGAGCCTATACAAAAAGTAATCACTTTCAATTTTTCAAGCTTTCATTTTGTTTGTTTAATTTTCTTTAACACATGATTAACAATTTATTTTTCCTTCATATCTTCTTTACGAAGATTGATCATTAAAAAATATATTAAATTGTATATAATTATTAAGCTAATATTTAAAAATCATTACTTTTCCATTTTGCAATGACATTTTATTTTATATTTTTCTTGTACAAAAAAAAAAAAGTAAAGAAAAAAAGAAACATGATTTTTTTTTAATGAAACGAATAATGAGAAGAATAAATATCTTTTCTGACTAACTTATTATAATTTCTCAACATATATTATACTTAACCTGCGAATCGTAAAAGTTTTCCTTATTAGGAAGACTGTTCTTTACATATTAACCACTTGCGATGGCGAAGAATTCTCCGTCGCGTGTGCCACGCACGTCGTTGGCAATTTTGCGACAAAAGCATCACGATGTGCGTGCACGTTTTTCCATCGCAAGTGGTTAAATCATGTCTTACTAGACATGAATTTTAAAAGCGCAGGAAGTTTTGATCTATAATTACTATACATATGCATCCATATTTCAAAAATCAAAACTAGCGATGTTGACATTTTAGAAAAACCTAAGAGAGACAATCTGTGACATTTGTCAAATGAATACTTATTTAATTAATAGTTATACCTCAAGAAAGTCCTTTAATAAAGTAACGCGACGTTTTTCTGCAATGTCCATTTGATTTTCTAGATCTCCACGATCTGTTGTTTCCGCTCGTTCTATTTTCCATGAGAGATTTTCTATTTCTGCTTCCAGTTGTGCTTGCTGATACTCGAACTATTAAAATAGAAATAAATAATCAATTTAAAATCTTATATGAATTTATTAGAATCAATTTGTAGCATCAGTGTAGATCGATAATATCTTACAAGTTCTTTTCTTGGACCAGCTTCCATGTAGTAAGCATAAGGATATGTATATTGTAAAGTGTAACGACAACGAGCTAAAAGCGATGCAGCTTCAAACAAATGTTGCCAATCTATCCATGTACCACTTGCTGTCATGACTTTTTTATTAATTCTCATCTTTATACCTTCTAAAGTTTGTTCTTCCAGTTTAAGAGATTTACTATGATTTTCCCACTGAAATAAATTTCTTTTAAATAGATATCAACATTATATTGGTATTATGATACTAATAATATTAAATAATAAAGGCTCACCCTTTCGTAATAATGTAAATATTTTTTTAATGCTTCCCTTGCTTGAGCATGAACACTTTCATGTGCAATATTAGGATTCTCTTTGTAACGTGAACATTCATAATATTCACTTCCGTGTAATTTCCAATTATGAAGACACATCCAACAAAAATCATGCTTACAATTATAACATTGCATATGATTACAACCACCATTTTTTTCTATACAAATATGGCATTTTGGACACTGAAAAATATACCACATTAATATGAAAGAATTATATATGTATTTATAAATGCACTAAATTATTTTTTATACTCTTACATCTTTGGTATGAGCACTAATATAATTTGCTGTTTCTGAATCATCTGCACATTTTGTTAACCACTTTTTAATTGTGTTACAATCAGTAGGAGCATGATAATCCATACCACATCGAAAACTAAATCATGAATTTAATAATTATTATTTATATATGTATATCTCTAAATATTTTATAATAAGTACAACATATACGTACCAAAATACAGTTTTACAAGAAGAACACATAACTCTTTTAGCTCGTTGTTCTTTCGAACGCAAGACTATTTGGCAATTTGGGCCAGGACAAAATCTTAATTGTGGATGAGACTTAACGTAATCACAAAAAGCAAATTGTTGATACTTTTCTCTCATATTAGGCTTAGTGAGCAAGGATAAGACAAAATCTTCTGGTACTAAAACGTCGCAATCTTGTGCCATGCAACTTATTCCTAAAAACAATTAATATTTATTATACAGAATTTATTTAAAAAATCTAAATTTTCATAAAATTATAAAAAATTGATTCTGTAACTTACCAGTAGATATACCTTGTGTTATTTGTACTTCAAAATGCATACACCAACAGTCTTTGCAAAATGAATGACCACACATAAGAGTAGAAAATTTATCAGCACGATGAACAGTTACACACACAGAACACAATCCTTTAGTTCCTGAGGTAGAATCCACCAAAGGCACCGGTCTAATTTTCGAACTGGTCAATAAATTGGAAGCATTGGTACGATATTTGGATATTATATCTTGCAGTGCCCAATTGTGTGCATGTAATAATACTTTGGCTAAGGACGGTGTTATACGAAGATTGTTGCTTAGTACTTCAACATTTTCATTCAAAAGCCTTTCTACTTCGTCAACTCTTAAACAATCATAAACAGCAAACTCCGGATCCCTTCTATTTTGATCGGGATCAACATCGTTATCTACTTCACCACCCCATGGTTGTACATTATAATAATCTTCATAACCTGGGTCTCCACAGTCTGAATCCGAACAATCCATTTCACTGTCATATTCTTCGCCTGACATCTACATACATACACAATTGTCATTTTATTATTTTACACTCAAATAATACAGATGACATTTAGAATAATAAATAGACAAATAGCATCTGTGAATATATGTTACCAAAACTTTTTACAAGCTTGTGCATTAACAGTAAATTATAACAAGCATAATATCTAGTAATGATTTATTTTTATAACCTTAGAAATGGTATTATTGTATTCACCCTAACAACTTTATCCAAGTATCCTATAAAGATACACAATGAGAAATAAAATCTAATATAAACAAAGTTTCCTAAGCAGCATTGAAAGTTTAACAATACATTTATTCAGATAGATATATGTTAAGATATTTAGACATATATTAAAATAAATTCTAAAATAAGATAACGCATTTACAATGATTGATCAATCATTTTTCTACTAATTTTAATCAAGATTTAATCTGTCATAAATGTATAATTAACAGATAACTAATAAGGTAATCGTGTATTCTCACGATTTATAATTTAACAATAAATAGTAAAACTCATGGTAAATATCTATAAGCAAATAAAAACGTATGCATATGTAAATATATACACATATACATTTATATATCTCTTTACGTTGTATATAAGACGAGACAAGTATATATGAAAAGAATTTTATTATAATTAATTTTTATAAGTAGTAACGTACACTAGCATATGAACTTATCAGATGCTCGTTTCAATACTCTTACTAGACTATTCGTAACAGATGATTCAAGTAAAATCTGAAGGTAGATAGAGATAAGTATGTCAAAATCACCTGACATCAAACAGCTGAGGTTGTTTAAGTATGGGTAAAGAAAGAACGCATATCCATTGAGAAATTTAGATTTAAAGATATAACATTGTTCACGATTAAGAAATAAAAGAAAATAACGTAAAAAAGAAGAAAAAACGTGTAATATATTACACGCAAGTTGTATACATACCTCTATTGAGTTCATAGCATTTTTTTTTAAACACGCTTTAACCTTATACAATACGACAGAACGAACGAGTATGTATGCTTTATTTGAAAGATCTTTCCTCGATTTTCGCGATCTTTTGAATTCTTGTTGTTATTTATTTTCTTTGACAATATCACAAATTCATAGTTAGATTTATTTTATACGATAATTTACATCAATTATTTGATATATTTACAAAGGATTTATAAAAACGAGATTACTTTTTTTCCAACAAACGTTCTATGTGTATTCATTTATAACGTGTGCGCGTACGCACACGAGAAAACAGAAATATACCACTGGTAACTCTATTACTAATCGTGAGATCTGTTTTATCAATGGTAATTAATGTTTACGCATTAAAGTTTCTATCACTTTTTTCTTACATTTGAAGAATTCATATTTACTCTTTTCTATTTTTTTTTTATCTTTCTCAGATATTGATATATATGTATATTTATTTTTATTTAAAATAATTATAATCCAATTTCTTTTATACAATAACAATAATGAATAGTGAGAAATATATTTTGTAGGTTGATCGATCTCATTATAAGAATTATGAAAAAACAAAAGATAATTTAGTGGAAATTATAAAAGTTTATAGTTTTTTAATCCTTTTATATTGTTTAAAGAAGAAAATGTATATGTATGCATACACACTAAAATATACTTTTAAACTCGTATTGTATACAGCATCGCGTCGCTAAGAATACACTACTTTTTAGCAGATTACACACGCACACACACAGATCAATGAAGCAATGCTAAACATGTACATTACGATGACGGATTTTTATGATTACTTTAAATCATTCTATAACTTTATTTCACGCACGCTACTGATGCAGAGCAGAATATATTTATAAAGTATATATATATATATATATATATATATATATATATATATATATATATNATATATATATATATATATATATATATATGTACACACACATTAAGGATAATAAATTCTTTTATAAGATTAATTTTTTATCCAGATGTATTAAATTTGTTAATAATTTGAAAAATTTATCTATATAAGATGATTTGATTGGTTAATTATTTAAAATTTCATTTAAATATATATATATATATTTATATATACACCGACATATATGTATTTATATATATGCAATAATTTAATACAATCGATATATAGTTCGTAACTTCGATTTTTCTATAGTAAAAATAATATTCTATTAGATGGCGCTGGAGTATTAATCGAAAAAAGGAAAAACGAGATTGGTCGAACGATCTTTGAATTTGTGGTCGATGTACAAACGATATATCTCGAGTGGGAGTTGCGGCTTATGATCAAGGTAGTGATATGACAGAAGCGCTGTCATTCATAGAATCTAATTGATAACTTATTTGTCAGATATTTAAAAGGAATACATCGTAGCAACACAATGGCGATGGGCAAAGGTTTTCGCGTATACGAAAAATTAAAACCACCTAGTCCACACTCCTTATTGTTAGAACGACGAAATCATAAGGAAACAGTCTTATTTGAATCCCAGGCTGTTGCTGTACTTTGTAAGTATTCAAACGTTTTTTATTTCATCCTTTAATTGCGTAAAAAAAAGATATTTTTAATGATTCGTATTAGTTTCTTGTTTTTCTTTTTTTTTAATTAATAAATTCGAATTGCAATTCATATTTAATTAATTGTTTTCTTTTATTTTGTCGAACAAATCGATTATTATATATGTGCTTTTCATTGACTTCTTTTTTTACAGCTCTTCAAGAAACAGAATCTTTGAAAGGACAATATACCAAATTGTTAGATGCCTATGGATGTTTAGGTGTACTACAATTAAATGCTGGAGAGAACACTTTACTTTATCTTGTTCTTGTTACCGGTTGCTTCTCAGTTGGTAAAATTGGTGAAACTGAAATCTTTAGAATCACACAATCACATTTTGTTCCGTTACATTATAGTCAAGGAAATGAAGACCGTGTTTCAGAAGTTAGAAAATTTCTTAACTCTGGTACATTTTATTTTTCTTGGACATCTGGTCAACAAGAATCTCTTGATATTACTCTTAGCGCTCAAAAAAGAAGTAAATCGACAATTACCGATAATAGATTCTTCTGGTTGGTAAAATATATTTTACAGGAGCACAAACTATTTACTTTCAATCATATAAAAAGATAAATATGTTTTTGTTTAATAAATAGGAATCGTATGTTACACATTCATTTACTACGATATGGAGTAGATACGAGTCAGTGGTTACTTAAAGCAATGTGTGGCAGCGTAGAGATTCGTACCGTTTATGTGGGTCATAGACAAGCTCGTGCAGTTCTTGTATCAAGATTAAGTTGTGAAAGAGCAGGTACTAGGTATGTATATTAATGTTATATTAAATTTCATTTTGATATAATTTTTCATATATATATATAAAATATTATTTTAATATATTTTCTTTTTCTTTTTAGATTTAACGTTAGAGGGACTAATGATGATGGACACGTAGCTAATTTTGTGGAAACTGAACAAGCTATTTATTTGGATAATGAAGTAACTTCTTATGTACAAACTAGAGGATCGGTTCCTTTATTTTGGGAACAACCCGGAATACAAGTTGGTTCGCATAAAGTTAAAATATCCAGAGGATTTGAAGCTTCAAAGCCAGCTTTTGATAGACATTTAACTATGATTAAACAAAGGTATGGACAACAAGTGATAGTAAATCTTCTGGGCTCCAGTCTCATTGGTAGTAAAGAGGGGGAGGCAATGTTAAGTCAATTATTTCAAACACATCACAATATGTCAGAACATAAAGATGTACCACACATATTATTTGATTATCACCAGGAGTGTAGAGGCGGAAACTTGAAGAATCTCTCCAAACTAAAAGCTAAAGTAGAAAAGTACTTAGAGTCCTTTTCCTTATTTTATGCTGCTGGAAAAAATGTAATACTTGAACAAACTGGTACAATTCGTACTAATTGTTTAGATTGCTTGGACAGAACTAACTGTGTACAAACTTTTTTTGCGTTAGAATTGCTTGCGCAACAATTAAGTTTATTAAAACTACTCGAAAAACAGCAAATGGTATCAAGATTTGAGGAAGTTTTTCGTCAAATGTGGATATATAATGGAAATGAAGTTAGTAAAATTTATGCTGGAACTGGCGCAATACAAGGAAGCTCAAAATTATTAGATGGAGCAAGATCTGCGGCTAGAACAATACAAAATAATCTTTTGGATTCAAGTAAACAGGAAGCCATTGATATTTTGCTCTTAGGTTCTACATTAAACACAGAGATAGCTGATAGAGCAAGATTATTGCTAGCATCTAATATGTTACATGCCCCGCCAAGTGTATTGAGAGAAATGTGTAAAAGATATAATGAATATGTGACAACCATGAAGCTTAGAATAAGCGTTGGTACTTATAATGTTAATGGTGGTAAACATTTTCGAAGCGTAGTACACAAAGATATCTCCCTTTCTGATTGGTTATTAGATGCTCCACGTTATTCGTCGTGTAAGTATAAATTAAATAGATCAAATCTAATATTACAATTATATATACATCTTTCAATATAATATTTTCAGCATTGGTATCTGTAGAATATGATAATACACCAGTGGATGTATTTGCAATTGGATTTGAGGAAATAGTAGATTTAAATGCTAGTAATATTATGGCAGCTAGTTCTGATAACGCAAAAGCTTGGGCAGAAGAATTACAAAAAGTATTATCAAGAGATACCGAATATGTTCTTGTTACATATCAACAATTAGTTGGAGTTTGTTTATATCTTTTCATACGACCTGAACACGCTCCTTACTTGAGAGATGTTGCTGTTGACTGCGTGAAAACAGGTTTAGGCGGTGCTACGGGTAACAAAGGTGCGGCAGCTATAAGGTGTGTCTTATATTCCACATCTTTATGTTTCGTGTGTGCTCATTTTGCTGCTGGCCAATCTCAAGTTACCGAGCGCAATGCTGATTACGCAGAAATAACGAGGAAAATAACATTTCCTATGGGTAGAACACTAAATACTCATGATTATGTATTTTGGTGTGGAGACTTTAATTACAGAGTTGATATGGACAAGGATGAGATGAAAGAAATGATTAAGAGAAATGAAATTGATCAAATAATGCAATATGACCAATTAAAAGTAAAAATCTTAAATCACTTTTTTTAAATACAAATGCAAATTACGTAATTGTAGGTATTATACGCTTTCGTTTTTCATATAGGTACAACAAGAGCAAGGTAATGTTTTCAAAAACTTTTTGGAAGGATCCATTACATTTCCTCCTACGTACAAGTATGATCTTTTTTCTGACGACTATGATACCAGTGAAAAGTGTCGTCAACCTGCCTGGACAGATAGAGTTCTTTGGAAACGAAGAAAGCAGATACCTGACATTGGTAAGTATTAAAGAATACAACTAACAAAAACATTTTGCATAAGCTTTGGGTAATTCTGTAAAAACTATGGCCCTAGATTCTCCTACAGACTGGTATCCAGGAAAGCTTATTTATTACGGCAGAGCTGAATTGAAACAAAGTGATCATAGACCTGTTATTGCCATTATTGACGTTGAAGTTTATCGCGTTGAATCGCAACAAAGAGAACACGTATTTAAAGAAGTAATCGAAGATTTGGGTCCACCGGATGGAACGATAATAGTTAAAACAGTAGATGAGACAGAAGATGCGGATAGTACATTCGACAGTAATGTTATGATGGCTTTGGTACAAGATTTATCTCATATAGGCGAAGTAATTCTCGTGAGGTTTGTTGGAGAAACAATCTGGGTTACCTTTAGAGATGGACAATGTGCTTTAGCTGCTGCGAAAAAAGGAATGACACATGTCTGTGGTCAAGCATTAACTTTAACATTAAAGTCACCTAATTGGATGCAACTTATTGATAAAGAAATTGAAATATGTAGTAACACTACAGTATCACAATCTAGTGTTTTCTCGCCTGTCTCAAAAACTTCCTTGCCGAAATTAGAACAATTAGGAATTGCTGAACATCCATCGGCTAATAAAGGAAATACAAATGGTTCTACACCACCACCTAGGCCAGCTCCGCCAGGAAGACCATCTCAACCACCTAAAAGTCCGTACCAAGAGAGAAAACAAATTCCGCACGCAGGCGTATTTAGCGTATTACCTAATCAGTTTTCTACGACATCAGTTAAGGATAGAGCCGAATCTAATCAAGTGGAAAGATCGTCACCAGAATCTGCAATTTACGAAGAAATATTAGATGGATTTCCTAATTATCCTGCACCAACTAGGCCACCACCGCCATTGCCACGTACAGATCCTTCCCAAGAGTCATTAAACAAATCTCCAAGTTCTATACCTCCTCCGTTACCGCAAAGACAAATTCCTCCTCCACCACAGCATGCACCACCTAGCTTGCCTGTATCGTCAGTTCCACCACCAGTTCCTGCAAGAACGTCAGGTGGTCCACCTATTCCAGCAAGAAATCCACATTAGAGACAGCATTTACATTAGTCCTCATTTAGAGTATTATTGTCATCTTACATATAAATATTTATGACACTAAATAGAGAAATGAGATTAATAAGGCAAAGTTCTCTTTTGCTTCCATAAAAGCCACTCTTTCTCACTGTATCGTAATGAGATTTCCAAATCTATTTTGTGGCTAGGACCAGTCCTTTAACTGTATACAAAATATCAATGGGGAAGTGCTTGTTACCGTACCATGTCATTGGTTCAAGTTCTTCTAAAAAATAATAATACTCAAGTGGTTCCATAAGATTTTTGTATACTTACAATCTTTAATTACTATTCATGACACCTATGTTTATAATGATGATGATATATATTGATGATATATATATCACAAGATTATATATTGTTTACAAAGTAAACGAAAAATGGCTTAAACTTTAACGATTAAAAACAAATACAAGGATTATGAAATAATTCCTCCAAAAAAAATTTCGGTTTATGGGAGAACTAGAGAATTATTCCAAAATAAAATAAATATAATGTGTTTGATATATGATACAATGGTACGATATACAATGCTGCGCTTAAATTATAGTGCATAATTTATAAACAAAATCCATGACATTTGTTGTAGATTTGATTAGCTTGAGACATGGCTTGATGTATCTCAAATGTTGCAAGATAGAAAACTATTTATGAATTTAATAGAAAACAGCTATTAATTTATCTATGAAAAAAAAAATATATATATGATGAAAAAAGGGGTAATAAAAAAATGATGCACATTGTAACTTAAGACAAAATGTAATTCTCTGTTATACAGCTTTGTATACCGCCAAATGCATATATATTATTCGATGTTATAAAAAATAGCTATTGTCAAAGTAGTACAAAATTAAGATTCCTTGCTTACTGTAAAGTAGCAACACAAAGACACTTGAACAAATAGGCAAGAAAAATGTCGTTCCCACACTTATAAACTATTTTCTTCATCTGAAAGTAAAAGAATATTTTTGGAGAGGTCATTTAAAAATATTTTTATACGTTCTAATCATTTTCTTCCATCAGAATTTACATTTTTTTTTCAACGAGACAATGCTTAATGAAACTGGGAACATTCTTCGAAATAATTCACACATGATCGAATATTAATCTAAAATATTTTTGGAATAAAAAAATATAAAATTTGGTGTAATTTTAATAACATTTAGAAAAATGAAAAAATGTCTTGTTATTAACAAGAAAGTGAAATTTTCCTAATAATTATTCGATAGGTATATCGCGTGCGTGTTTATATTATTTATTTTTTATTTTTCCTTTTCTCTTTCTCTATCAAATAATAATTACATCCGTAGAAAACGAATTAAAACATTCCTAAAACACCGAAATATATCTATATTTAATTTTTATTATTATTATATATAGTTATAGTTTAGAATTTTAATTATAAAAATATTTTAAGCTGCAAAGATGAATCCGCAGTGCTACATCTAATGAATATATTATCAATTATGAATTAATATTGTTTCGTAAAAAAGAAATTTTGTTTATCTAAATAGCATATAACTGTCTTTTAATTTTTATATCAATTGAGATAATATTTATTTGTGTTCCTATTAAACGGAGTTATATATATTTATATAAAGTTAGTCCCTTTATACTTTATACAAAGTAGGATCATACATATATATATATATATATATATATATATATATATATATATAAAATCTGTTTTACGAAATTTATGTGCGTATGTGTATGAAAAATTTATATATAAATATACTGTAAACACAAAGCGCTGTGCCTGTCAAAAAAAAAAATTAAGATCATGTGTAAAGCAATGTAAATGGCTGTGAACATAAATCCGGAAAAGAGTATGCTTTTAGTTAGAACATATTAATCCATTTTAGCAAATAAATTATGTACAAAAATGAATACATCCGATATATAACGATTCCTCACACGAGCCGCATTTTAATCATTTTGAATTGATGATGACATCAGAAGCAGAAAGTACAAGAATGACTCAACAAATGGCAGTGTTCAAACAATGCATCACGGATATGTCATAAGTATAAAAAATTATTTCAATATCACGACATTTATATTAATATGTAAATCCATTTAGGTATATTTATATACATCATTATTCATTCCATTCAATTTTATTAATTTTATAAAGTCATTGACGATGTGAGTTTCTTGTATTTTCCCTTCATAAAAAAAACTAAATTTATCGAAGATGTCGTTTACAAATTTTTGAGGAAAAATTGTCGCACACTATTAATTACATAACGATTGTGTTTTATTCTTTCATGATTTTAAATTAATTTTGCACACAGCATTCGTTTGTGATGCAATAACACATATTGAAATGATACATTGATATTATTTAAACTTACATAGTTATGTTTAAATAAATCAATGTAAAATTCGTTGTTGACTTGCAAAGAAAGTCTTAGATTAATAGGTAACTAGATCCTGATCTCAATATTAAATACACAATTAATACAAAATTAAAAGATCTTCCGTTTGCGCGCTTTATCCTTTTATAGATGAGGAAAAAAAGCGATTATTACAAATCCAGATTAATTATAAATTAACAATTTCGCGAGTGTGATTATTATAGATATATATGTATATTTATATATATTGATGAATATATATATATATATATATTATATATATTGCGCGCATTAACCCGGAATTAAATTCACAGATGAAACTAAAAGTGACTCATTGTCGATAGATAATAATACAAAAAGATATTGTGTTAAAAAATATAGGATCTAGCAAGGAAAAATACCTAATAAAAAAAAAAGAATATAGGATATACTAAATGTTAATGAGATGTCAAAGTAAAAGTCTTATGAGATTAGTACATGTGTTTACATGATAATAAACTGTTTTCCCCTCCCTTTCTTTACAGTTTTAATACAGTCTCTCTTTTGTCATGTCTATAAATTGATTGTTGTTCCAACATTTGGAAAGATTTTTTTACATTTAATAAAATAATGGAGTATTGCAACACTTAGCTTAATAATCCACAATTGCTTAAATTATTCTTAATAATGACGTCGGTCACAGCGTCAAATACAAATTGTATATTAGATGTATCTGTGGCACATGTGAAATGTGTGTAAATTTGTTTCTGATCTTTCCTTTTGTTTAAATTTTCAAATTTCATTTGAATAAAAGATGAACATTCATCATAGTTGTTAGCACCTTTGTAATCCGGAAAACAAATGGTTAACGAGCTTCTAGCAATTTTTTCTTCAAAAAGATCCTTTTTGTTAAGAAACAATATAATCGACGTTTCAACGAACCACTTGCTATTGCATATAGAATCAAATAGCTTCATTGATTCGATCATTCTATTCATTTCTTCATCCTCTGCAAGGACTAAATCGTACCCACTGAGAGCGACACAAAATATAATGGCTGTAACACCTTCGAAACAGTGTATCCATTTTTTCCTCTCTGACCGTTGACCACCAACATCAAACATTCTGTTAAATTAAGTTATCATCATCTCGATATATCAAAATTAATTAATAATACAACTATAATTAACAAAAATAACATACTTGAAGTGTAATCCTTTAAATGAAAAATGAGTTTCCACAATTCCTGTAGTTTTCACACGTGTTCTAAGGACATCTTGTTGAGTAGGAATATAATTAGGTTGTGCTATACGATCAAGAGCATTTAGATAATACGCAGCAGAATCATTCAACTGATATTCTCTACTGCGTGTGAAACAAAGTTGTACACCTGCATCTTGCCACAGTCTTTTCATTAATAACACTAACTCTCCAGTAAGTTCACCTTCCTCAGCTGCTGAAGCTAGGGTGAAGAATTGCCGAGCTATATCCTAATGCACGATTATAATAAATTTAAAAGATTAGTATTACTTGTAAAAAATAAGAAAAGAAATAATAAGAGGTTTACCCTTTTTAAATATAACACTTACAGCCTTACTAGAATCAGCAAAATCAATTCTTAGTTGCCCCATAGCTCTGATTATTGCCATTAAACTTTGTATTGCGTTACTATATACTACTGGCTTATATTGTTCGCATTCTTCCTTACTATACCCAGTTTCATGAATTATTTTCATCTGTTTTACTATCGTTGATTTGCCAGATTCTCCAGCTCCTTAAAAAGAAAGAATTAAAAGTATAATCTTATTGAATAATAATTATTTACTTGTAACAACGTTAATTTTGTTAATTTAAAATAGCTTGTAAAAGAATTTAAATAAAAACTTTCTTATTTGAGAATTTCTCGAGAAAGATAATATATTTTTAATTTTCTATTGTATATATATTGTGTAAATTCGTATGAAATTATATATGCTATCGAATGCAACAAGTATCAGAAATACATATGACATGCGCACCAACGTCGCGCCATTCGAAAAATCCTTTTATTTATTCTTAGTAATTGAGTTGTGGTTGAGTACTCGTTAATTGCCGGAAAGAAAAAAAAAGTGAATAGGATTTCAGAGATGCATCATCTCTTCAGAATGATTACGCGGCGCGTTTCAAGGAAAAGCGTAAATAATGGTTTGACATATATGTATGCAACAAAGTGAGACATCAAAAACTACATATATATATATATGTATATATATAATAAATATTTTAACGTTAAAATAAGAACGTATGATATTAATTTGTTTTTATTATTTTATTTTTCTTAAGAATATTAATAATCAAGTAGAAGAAAACAATTACATTATGTACATGAAATCATATATGTCTCTTTTTCAATAAACTAATGGCTGAACATTTCCTTGATTAAAAACATAAAAACCAAATTCGTAGGAATAAAATCGATTTAAATAATTATACGATAATGCAACTGATAAAACGATTCAATTCTTATAAAATATTAAGGAAAATTTAGAAGAATAAACATACCAAGTAAGAGGAGTTTGACCTCACTGGCGGCCCGCTCGCCATCGGCCCTTAGATCTTTGTCGATTTTCTTGGACCTTTCAGCGGCTTCTTTGTCTCCGGTGGTGCTTACAGCACAACCCATCCTCACCGGGATTGAAAATATTCACAAGATAAACAATAAACACCATGCACTAATCGTGTTTATAATAACACGTGTCTTTCGATTAGTTATATTTGTCCGTTATAATCGGCCGCTACCGTCTGACACTTGTTGCACGGACGCGTGGGAACCGCCCGCACGCGGTTCCGCCTGCATATACGCAACAATTAAAAAACTTTAACAAATCTTTCACGAACCAATACGCTAAGGAGTTCGCGATTACCTTAATCACTTTAAATTTAACGTTAGAAAAACACGACGATGCAAAACGTAAAACTACCGGTGCCCTTTCTTCACATTTATTGACACTACTTTCTACGGCCCTTACGACTTGGAAGACAGATCCCGCGAGATCCGGAATGATTTAATTTCGTCGCTTATACACTACTTAGTAAACGCGACCTTAATTGGTTCTGCGATCATACGAGCATTACGATTGGTTATCCAAATTAGTTTGAATTCCCTCAGCCAATTAGATTATTCGACCTCTAGTACTTCTGATTCGACGATATCTAGTCTTATACCTGACATGCAATTCTATTGGCCACATTTTTCATATTTTCGATATGATACCCTAATCTTCGAACAAAAAGGGATTTTAAATTTATTTTTGTTTCTTTTTCTCTTTATTTAGGAATATGTGATAAATATGTCTTATTTAAATGTAAAGTACTTTTTAAGTGTATACCATTAAAACTTCGCAAGTGTTATAATCTTACTAAATAATAATTATACTTCATTTAAATAATGAATTTAAATCGTTTTTACAATAGTCAAGTCGTTTTAGGAATTTGTTACTTATAATACTACTGTCCTTGAAAATGCCTCATATGTTGCATATCTTATTAATTTTTGGAGGTTGGAACACGTGTTTTTCAGTTAACCTATAAGTTCTATAGATATTTAGAAAACTAGTACTATGTCAGTATATCACGACGAAGTGGAAATCGAAGATTTTGAATACGACGAAGAAGGAGAAATTTATTACTATCCCTGTCCTTGTGGTGATCAATTTCAAATATCAAAGGCAGATCTTATATCTGGTGATGATGAAGCTATGTGCCCGTCGTGTTCTCTCATTGTTAAAGTAATTTATAATAAGGAATCTTTTTCTGAAAAACAAAATTTTACTAAAACAGAAAGTGTTGCTGAAACAGAACAAAAACTTAACACGCAAAAAGTTTAAGTTAATTTCATATTAGTGTATATTATTTATCTAAGAACTTTCTAATCATGGCAGGAAGAGGACATGGAAAAGGTTCTATGTCTTTTACTTTTGAACAATTAGGACTTACTAAAGCTGAAGCTATGATGCATAAATCTTTAGAACCTCCACCAAAATATCCTATATTAGAGTATAAGCCATTGCCTTTTACCATTACTAATGAAATGAGTTATTTATTGGAATTGAAAAGGGACTTTGCCGAATATTTAAAAGAATCTTCTTTTAATGTGAGACCTATTGAAGTAAAGAAAGATGTTGAACGTTATTCAGATCGTTTTCAAGATTTGATGACGGATAAAAGTAGCTATGAAACTAAGTATGACTGGTCTAAAATACCAGAAGAATTAAAACCATCTTCTATTCGTAGAAAAAAAGCTTTAGCAGCAACAGTGCCTAAGAAAAAACAGAAAGTGGTTGATGTAGAATCTAAATTACAAGAGTTAGAGAAAAAGGAGATTAATCAACAAGGTGAAGTATTGGAATCGGAAGAAGAAAAAGTAGAGGAAGAAGAAGAAGAAGAGAAAGAAGTGGGTGTAGATGGAGACGAAGTAGATGAGGAAATGGATGAAGGAACTGATTACGTAAATAGTTATTTTGATAATGGAGAAGGTTACGATGATGAAGAAGATAATATGGATGACGGAGCCATCTATTAAAATTTATCTTATTTTAAAGTTACTAATAATTCAATCTTTACAAATTCTTGCTATATATTTATAGGATTTTTCTATTGTAAAGTTCTATATATATAATATAATGCAACTATATTTCTTATACAATAGTGCCGTAAATATATTATCTATTGAAAGTTTGTATTAAAGACTGATGTATATTGCTAATATTCTTACCTCAATTGTATTTAATTAACACCATTAATAAAAAAAAGCATTATTTATTATATATTTATTATTTTTATTAAATTAAAATATGTAAATATTATATAAACTAATGATTTTAAAAGACTATATTTTGAAGTAAAGAAAAATAATAAGGATATAATATTCTAAATGTTGAAGAGAGAGAGAGAGAGAGAGAGAGAGAGAGAAAAAAAAATCTATTTTCAAAGGTAATTTTTAAACGTAATGATGATTATAATTTCGTTGAAGTCCAGGGGAAAAGAATGTGATAAGCTTATTTATTTAAGCGAAATTTTACACAACAATTAACAACCAAAATCTTTTTTTTTCTTTTTTTTTTATTATTATTCTTTATAGTATCGATTAAAATTTTGCGGTTCCCTCCTGTGTACGTTCGCCGATTTATTTCAAAGGCCCGTAATTTTCGACTATGCACTGAAATGGTTGGACCACCATCGGTACAGAGAAAATATAAAGTAAGGATGCAGATTAATCAGGAAATCTTAATATATATATATGTATATATATATATTTAAAGATTAGAAAGGGTCGAACAGTCGTGTTTTTTTTTCGTATGGCTTTAAAGCGCGCATTGAGATTTGTTTTCTATTGTACAAAAAATTAGAATGTCGTACATATAATTCATATATGATTTTTGAACAGAACACACTAATTTATTTTATGAATGAATTAATTTAGCTTTCGTACTTCGACGAGTGATCGAAATGCCATTTAATTTTGCACGTCCGCTTCTTATATCACCGCTTAAAAAATCTTAAAGCGTATATAGTAGAACAAAATTCCTGCGACCGTGTGTAATCATTATTTATTTATTTTCTTGTATTTTTTTTATTCGTTCGAATGAACAATTGCATTTGGTTTTAGCCAGCGAATAATTTAGCTTTCATCTTTTATTAATCATTCGTTCGAGCTTTGTACGGAAGCGTAGTGGGGCTTTATGTATGTCGACGATGCAAATTTTCTTTCTACTTTTTTTAAATTGTGTGATTTATAACACATACTCCGTATACACGCTACATCTGCATACTCGATTATTCACAGCCTATGTTTCAATGGGAAAACGTATCGGTGTGTAATGACGCACTGACACGGTATTCGCATTTAATAAAAAAAGAAATTAATAATTAAAAAAAGAACCAAGAATATAGAGGGACGTAGAGAATACAATCCAATCGATTTTTACATTAGAAATAAGTTATTTAACGTATTTTTCTTTTATAACGCATGTCCTATCGTTTTCTTCTTCTTTTTATATTTTCTTCTTTTGGTAAGAAAGTTTACTACCCGTGGGACGAGTATTGAAAAATGTATAATAATGGTCTGTGTTGTCGTTGTGTGTCCCATCTGCACGAAAAATCGTTTATTTATATTTTTTAATGCACGATCACTTAACGTCGTAGGCACGGGGGGAAATATTCAAGGAATATTGGAACTCTCTATATGACATAGATATCTGCTAACATCGTAACACGATTTCGTGTAACAGAGAAAGCGTAAATCGTGTGAAAATGAAAGCATCGAAGTCTCGTTCATCTTAATCATCTTTTTCTTTTTTTTCTTCTTCTTCTCCAATTATAATGACGAACATTGGACGTTTGAACACATGATCCCCAAGAGTGTTTATCAACAAAGTGGTAAAGTTTCTCTCAAGAGCTAAAGCTCGAAACTGAATAATATGTATAAGAAATTTGTTTATAACTCGCTAGCTTTAACAATAAAAGATTCAGCCCGCATTCGCTGAATTTTAATTGGCATTCGACTTTATTTTTACCATCTTCTTCTTCTACTTCATTTTCTTTTTATTTTTCGTTTTTTTATTTTTTTGTTCTTTTCATTTCATCGATCGTGAGATATAATCGTTGTTAACCCTTTTACATTTACGTTAACTCTCAGACGCATGTCTACTTTACAAAAGTATGTTATTTAACAAATCATAGAGGAAATGCGTGATTTTTTTTATATTTTAAACATTCGGAGTTTTCTTAATTAAATTGGTGATTAATTTGTAATCTAACAAGTAAAAAATTTTCAAAAATTTCTTTATTGCGTAATTCGTATAATTAGGTCGAATACGATTTACGTAATAAATTGTATTTTTTTAAAATAATTTTTTACTTCTCTCAATCACAATTTTTATAATTACTGGCTCAATTTATGTTCGTGGTATACAAACGATCTTTTTACATGTTCATTTGGCGTGAAGGAACTTTCCTTGATTTTAAAATAAATTTCACTCATTTGTTTTTCATTATTCCACTTAATTCACAGAAACGAATTATTTTTTAGTTTATATATGAGCCGTTCACAGGCAAAAAGCGATTAACTCGACTTATAGAATTTGTAAAAAATTTAACAGCCTAAATGGCCTCTAACAAGAGAGAGAGAGAGAGAGCCTTCTTTGATGTTTAACTTTTTAGATTAAAAATAAACTTCTTTTAATTATTAGGCTTAACAACACCAAATGAGAAAATAGTCATTGAATAATAAATAATATCGCAATATATTATATAACTTTATTAACGATCTACTTTTTATTTTAAGGAGTAAATCTCATAACGTGCATCTTCGAATTTACTCGAACAGCGTATCATTTTAATACTCCAAAAAATAATCTCAAGAAATTCATTATTTTATATATATATATATTAAATAGAATAAATTATTTTAAATATTCGTATATATAATCTAACGAAATTTTTCAATAATTATCGCCGTACAAATTTAAAAATTAAAATGATCTACGTATAAAAAAGTGATGCCATTTTTTTCCACAACTTTTTTGTCTCGTTTACTGGTTAATCAATTTAACAAATGAGCGGCCCATATAATATATAATATATAATATATAAATAAACTGATTTTTTCTAAACGCATTATTATTGCTTAATAATAAACGTGATTATAATAAATAGAGAAAGAGAAAGAGAGAGCTATCGAATTTTATGTCGAATCGAGCATCATCATTATTTATCTGTATTATATTATTTTCATTTATCTGATGTTAAAGAGATACGATTGGAATAAAGAGATCATGGATGTTATATTCTGACAATTATTCTTTTCTTTTTAAAGTTTAGATTGGATCTGGACGGGCAGTGCGAACTTGTGTGAGATGCGCCTTCGATATGTAACGCGGTGCAGATCGGACAAATCGAGGAAGAATACGCATTTTTATATAATAGGCGACATAATTATGCAAACTACGAAAATCAGCCAAAAAGAACACATTGCGTTTTCATTTTGACTCTCAATCATGATCCGATCTGTACACTCGAACTCTTTCTTTCTGTCTGTTAATTACGAATCACGCTAAGGCGCTATTACATTCACTCAAATATTCTAACGTTAATTAAGAGAATTATAAAAAGAAAAAAAAGAAGAAAAGAGAAAGAAGAGAAAAAAAAGAGAGAAAGAGAGAGAGAGAGAGAGAGAGAGATACGTTCGTAAATCGTATAAAAGTATTTACCTAATGCTTAAATAGCGTCTCTACTAATCATGGCGTCGAAATTTCAATCATTCATTTTTATTTTCATTTTCCTTTTTTTTTTTATATATATTTTATTTTATTTTTTTTTTTCGTTCATATAGTCCTGTGGAAAATTGTGCAACGAAATATTTATCCATCCATTAGTAGTCGTACGATGGTTTTTCTTCTTGTTGTTTTTGTTGTTGTTAATCCGTAAAAAAATGATACGTATTGTCGCATAAAAGTTTCTATAGGAATCGTCGATTTATTTCATTAATTATATCGTTTCTAGTTGTCCGAGACTAATCCAATAAATATATAGTAGTACCTCGTGTGTGTTATTGTGCGTAATCGAATTTACGCGCGGGATTGAAAAATTATATTTAATAATAATTCAACGGCTACGGCTCTTTCATATATCTGATGCATGCGCTGACGTTTCTCGTATTCGTTCGTCTCGTTCCTTTTTTTATTTTATTTTATTTTATTTTATTTTATTTTATTTTATTTTATTTATAACCCGTGAATGTAATAGTACCTTCGTAGTGCCGTACATCTAATTTTTTCTTTCATATTATTTTATTAATTGTTTTTTTTTGGGAATAAGGGTATTATTTTTATCCTTAATAAATTTTAGGATTATTTTGTTTGTTTGTTATTTAACTCGTGCCGTGTGTTCGATTCGGTTATTTAAGGAACAAGCATATGCCATATAAACAAGCATCTATTAAGGTATATATTATTTTTTCTCCTTCCATCATTTTCTTTTTCTTCAAACAAGAGGTGAAAGCGCACGGTCTATTTTTTTGTCTCTTGCAAACGAAATTAGTAATATCAATGCTTCTCTTTTACAATAGTCGATGAAATTATTGAAATAATTTATTTCTTTCGATCATTTTCCATTCCTCTCGTTCGCACGTTTGCTTGCTTGTTTGCTTGCTTGCTTGTTGATCTCATCGCATATTATTATTTGTTTCCGCTACACCTCATATATAGATATTATTTAATATTTTTTAGCGCTTTAAACGTTTATATGAAGCTATACGACTCTTAAGAAAACTGATGAGCGAAAAGCGACAAAACCTCGTAGAGAAGACGTTGGCTTTCTCGATCGATCTACCATCGTTTCCGATAAATCTGTTTTGACATTAATTTTTTATACGTTTATAAGTTAATTTAATTTAATTTAATTTAATTTAATTTAATTTAATTTAATTTAGTTTAGTTAACTTTATTTTATTTTAATTTATATTTTAGTTTAGTTTAGTTTCTTGTGGTAGCAATGAATAATGTGTTAGGTATATGTGAATCCTTGTCGCTCATCCTTACAAGATTATTGGTTGGAATAATTCATCGCTTATCACATATATTATATATTAATAATCAGCTTGCTACTGATTTATATTTAATGTATGTATATCGAGGAGAGAAATATTATTTATTTTAAGGATGCTTTATGATTTGGTACGAGAACATAATTTCTTTTGCTGTAAAAGAATAAACGTCGCATAATA